GGAAGCTGAGAGCAACCTTGGTTGGGGTGAAGAAGTTGGTCTTGAGGATTGAGGCGTTGAACACGCGGAAGGCACTCATGACCATTTCGTCATGTTCATTGGCCGCAGTACTCGAAATGAGCTGCTTCAGCTTGTGGCCGTCCAACACCTCGTCAACCTGCAGACGCAGGTAACTCAGGGTGGGGAGGAAGTCATCCTCGGCGGGACCCCGCGTTTGCACGTAATGCGTGTTGGCGAAGTCCAAGTAAAGTTTGTGGATGAGTTCCGGGTACTTGTTGACGATTTCCAAGATGTAGTCTGATGTGAACGTCTCGGTACGCAACCTCTTCTTGATCTTCGCCAACAGCTCCGCATGGACGCTGTTGTTCGAATCCAGAAGATCTGTGAGGGAGATGTATTCGGAGCCCAGTCGGTTCAGGAACTGCTGCACGAACACCCAGGCGCAGTGGGCATAGATCGTTTCCTGCAAGCTAAGGCGGCCACTGGCGAAATGGTGCTGGAACTTGTTCTGTGGAATGCAGTACAAAAGGGAGACTTCCTTGATGATCTGGTGAATGGCGGCCTCAATCGGGGGATACTTGGCGGCAATCTCCTTGTTGGGGAGAGGACGCAGGTAAAGCGAAATCACCGTAATGCCGTTGGAGAAGTTCTCCAGGTACTTCCGTGAGCTGGTCAGGCGGTAGTAGTGGTACAGATCGGAGAGCGCGCTGAAAAGCCCCATGGCAGACCCTTGGCGGTAGGCAATGACCAGCCTCTTTTCGCGGCTCTTCTCAATCTCAAACAGCTCAATCACTGGGCCAGAGCGGCTCACGGCATTGCTGATGATTTCCTGGTAGATCGCCTTGGTGTTAGGGGTGGCTTTCTGCAGGAACCTCTTTTCGCCGATGATATCGATATTGGTCTCGTACGGATCGGGATTAGGGTTGGCAAACTGGCACTTGTACACGAAGTAACAACGGAGCTGTTGCCCATCATCACCGGGGATAGGTGTGGGGGAACGGAAGGTCTCAACGCGATAGCTGTTGCCTTGAGTTGAGGGGTTGATATACTTCTTATCAATCCGCTGTTCATAGCCGGGGCCTTCGACTGTTGCGATACCGGGCTTGCTGGTATCAATGTAGACAGCATGATCTTCTGCTTCCTTATCCAACCTGATTTCGAGCTTCTTGTCGTCACGGGCATAAGCTGCAACCTTGGCAGCATATAGCGAGAGAATCTGCGTGACGATAGCGTCCACAGACTCGGTCTGGAAGTATGTGTCGTCAATGCCGAGCTGGTTGTAGAACCACTCGGTTTCCCCGACGACAAATTCAATGGGAATGAAGCCTTTCTTCTCCAGCTGATCCATAACTAGCGAACGAGAGAGCAAAGAGTCAGATAAGTTGCTACCGATAGAACCAGACGGATTTCGATCGAATTCCACTCACCTTGCTCCATTTGCTTTTCCTTCCCTTCGAATTTGGCCGCCACATAGCCGGGGTCTTCCTCTGAGAGAATGCGATGCTGCCCACCACCGGGGATAGCCAGATGCGTGGGCTGCGGCGATGGTTGGCGCACGCTGGAGCCGGCTACATTGTCAAGGATCTTGTTGTGGGGGTGTCTTTGGAAACCAAGAGGAGTTCCAGCTCCTGACTGAGAACCATCGTTGCTCCCGTAGAGTTTCGGCCCCGTCCGCATGGGAAGGGTGTTGTTGCCATTGAGGTGGCCGTCGGAAAGAGGCGACGAAGAAGGCGCGGGAGAGACCATGATGGGAGTGGAGTGGCAAGAGGAGTTTAGAGGCTCAATTGAACTCAGAAAAGAGACGGCACTAGTGGGTTTTATATCTGCTACTTGGTGAGCCATGCATGGATAACAAAGACAGAAGCCAAGCTGCTAGCAATAATAAGAAAACTGGTTCGTGCGCGAGAATGGAGGGGGGAGAGAGGGAGGGAAGCTGAAGCCGGGAAAGATAAGGCAGCCACACAGCTGCAAAAAGATGTGCAGGGGATGGCACCGGCAGGAAAATATACAAAGAAGCAAGAAGGGAAAGAATGGAAATTCTAGACCACAAGCGACAAACTTACCTCAATGAGAGCGTCGATTGATGCAAAGGAAAATTGGTGATCTGGCGTTGCTACGGGCCAGGGCAATGACGAAAGCTCGAAGCTTATCGGGGAGAGCAAGAGAAATGAGCCAAACAGACTGAAACGGGGTTCACTTGTCGGTACCAGCCATCAACCGACACGTCACCAATAAAATGCACAGAGAAATTCAGTTGAGAGAGTTTTAGGATTTCACGAATGGAACGAAACACAGATAAGAGGGGAAGACGGGGAGAGAAGAGGGAAAAGTAAGTAGTAGTGGAGAGGATCCAGTTTATCCAAGAAGGAAAGAAGGATGCGAATTCAAATCTGATCAGATCAGATCAAATCAAATCAAATCACAAGGGAGGTTATTCACTGTGATGGACACAAACAAAGCAATAGAAATACGGTGCGAATCCACACGGCAGATGCTGGCTCTTTATACAAACTGGAGCTGAAGCCAGACGAAATGTCGTATTCCCCCAAAGGTAAAACAAATAATAATAATTGAATAATAAACATTTCTTATTATCACATCGAAAAAGAAGAATTAGAAAATAAAAAATAAAAATAAAAAATCAGAAATTTCCCAAAACGAAATTAATCCGAAATTGCACAGCCATTATTAAGTCATACCTGCAACACTTCTTTGGGAAGCCCAAATAGTTATCATTCGGCCAGCCAGCCAAACCCAGAGAGCCGGTGCTATGCGATCGGCCAGGAACGGGGCCCGGTCCGGGGCAAGTCGTTGGACGGCCTGGCTGTTTCTGCCTGAGGATCATGGATGGCCCGCCCTTGTGCATGGGTCTCCACGTTGCCGTTGTGGTCTCCAACTGTCAAATTCATGTTTTTGTTCCTACTCAAGATACCACGGTGGCTAGATACTTTATGTAGTACAGAATCAATGAGGCTTGTACGCCGGGAGTAGACTGTGTATATGAAGCGGTAATTTCATCCATGGAAGTTTTTTATTTCTCTCCTTGCCTTACTCCCATGTACGTTCCCTTCTTTTCCCTTTTTCCTTTTCCCTTTCCTTCATTGATACTGGCCCGTCTGTGCAACGGCTCCACGGCGGATGACTCGATTCACGATGCCAAGTCGAGTGGGTCCCAGCTTCCTTTTCCGGTATCGCGAACCATTTTAGTTCAAATGAGGCAAGTGTGAAAAATACCGCAAGATACCGACGTGATTGGTAGCCCGGGGCTAAAAATGGAAAAATTGCCTCAGATGCTTTGGAACAGGAGCTGGAGTCATTGTGGCTGGTTTGCCGGTTCATAGTTACTAACAAGGTATGGAGTAAAAGGGAGTGTCACCTGAGTTCAGTCCAGGGGCGGCGGCGTCCAGGCACAAATTTAGAATAAAGTGAGTAGTCCTGTCGCGTGAGACTTCTACGGGATAGATCCAAATTGAGATCTATTACTCACTATAGATAGATAGTGTGTGAGTATGTGTCTGTGTGAGAAACTCGATTGAGATGGTTGCTAAGGTCCTTGACCACCTGCATGCAGTGAGGTCAGTCAGTAAAAGTAAGTACGTACTGTAAATAATCAGATAGTAGAAGGCCAGTTATAATTCTTTCCCCGTAAGAAACTCCGTTACAGCATCCATACTTGCCTCTAAATTCCCGGTTTAGTCAGCTGACCGGACCGGCTGGAGGGGGGCCAACAACTCCACTTAGTAGGGCTGTAGGTTTCGAAAGGGGGTTTTGGTGTGTCATGGTGGCCAGTCCGCTGCAAATCATCGCCGACGATGCCGAATTTTGCAGGTTTCTCTGCGTAATGGCGAGCATCAACGGAGGGAAAAATGCCGCACTTGATTGCTCTTCGGGCTTATCATATTAGCAACCGGGGTTTCTTATCGGATGTGTAGCAGATAGATAGCAGCAAGAATTCGAGTACTTTGTCATGGTTAATTGTGATCGGTAGAGGGTTTCTTCAATGTTACCTACCACTTTAGACTACTATAGATACAGAGTATCTCTTTTAGGAATAGATCTATCAACTTGGCCCAGAATCATTGGGCTCTTTTGTGTCCAGTCTGATAAACTGACTGATAACTAAACCTACTTGGTACTTGACCGCAGTGAGGGAAGGATGGATCACACACACCGCCATTACAATACCACTTTTGGGAGATTTGCACTGTCGGGGATAATTGATTAGTTGGAGTTGGGTAACCACTTAGTACAAAAGAAGTAGTATTGAGTTAGCACGCAATTTCCAATTTCTTTGAGTGTGAAGTCATATGTGTCCGTCGAAGTTTCCTCACGCATCTAGACTTGCGGGGGGAAATGGTCGATCGGTACCTGGAAGATGGCCCGTGGCTACCATTTCTGCACTATTCTCAATCCATTCCTAGTCAACTTGCGGGGAGGAGAGGGTTTGAGGAAAAACTGCCTACTAGTCTCCAACTCCCGCAGTCAAATGAAATGCTTCGGAATCCCCAGCCGGAATTCCCATTATTAAAATGGCTCAAGCCTACCCCGTGCTATTACCCCATAGAAAGTCCGTCCGCGTATCCTCTTTTCCCCAAAGTTCCAAACTCCCAACATTCCCCTCTTCTTCGAGAGGCGGGGGTGGATAATTGTCCCTTTTCCTCATTCTCTTTCTTTCCTTTTCGCCCCTTCCCCTTGGCTGGTGGAAGTGGAACGGATGGGGATCAGACTTCCAAACATGAGTGGTTTTGCTTTAACCCACCGGAGGCTCCACTTGCTCGTCGTCTCGAATGGTCCATATGAAGTAATGAGAACTCCTTCACTGGAAGACAAAAGAATACTCCCGGACCATGCGCCATCCCCGGTGGCTCCTATTCGCTGTCGGCTGCTTCATTCGGTTGCCGTGATTCCTTGATGCAATGACGTACAACCCGCCATTCGCTGCCCGGATGCCATGCACCGCAAGACTAGTAGTAATCCAGACATGCCAACATCCCAACGGGATGAGGCACGCACAAGCGGTGTCGCGCATTCTGCATCTTGTGACTCCCGAGTATTTTCACCGTCTTTGCTACTTGATTGCTCGAGCTCGGCTGCTGGTCGCTGATAGGTGCTTAGTCTTTAGACTTGTATCAAGGACACTCAGCTGAATAGGCTCTCGGACAGCTTTGCATGAAGACACGGCTGCTGCTGGGAGGAACTTTATCCCGGCGACATATCATCAGCAAGTCCGATCCCGACAGGTCACATACCAAGGCCAACTCTGTCACCTGCATTTCAGAGTTTCGAATGGTTGGATGCAGTCAAGGCTGCTTGGTCGCTGCCATTGCCCTCGTGCACTGGAGGTAGTTAGGGAGCAGTATAATGGCTGATGAGCTGCAGACATCTATCATTTACACTCTGCAGCATCTGCATGCAAACCACGTTGATCAGCTTCCGCTTGGTTTGCTCTCACTCCTGCATGGTGCAAGCTGCAATACAACCGGCTTGAGGAGCTTGTGGTCGTCTTCGCTCACAATGAGTAGGTCCTCCGATAAGATCCTACTGGACGGGATAGAACCCATCCGTAATGCACTCAGCGTGCTGCATGGTGAACTAGTTTACACCTGCAATGATTGTCATTATAAAAGTTCGAAGTTGATACAGTGAAACTTTGCTCTACCATGTGTACAACCAACCGAACAGGTAACGAGTGCAATGGATTGAGATATAGCTGGAGAAGATTCATGAGGGCTGATGATGGTAAGTACCCGTCACAGCGGACTTTACACTTTCCCTATTTCTCGCTGTTCAAATCTATGTGATCCGTTTCCAGGCTCTCTCATAATGCAAGGTACACAGAAACAAACACATGAGCGTCCATATCATGCATCCAAGGGTCCCACTGATCTGGCCATCATTAGCAGACCCAGATACAGAACGTCGAAATAACATACAATAGAGGCTAATCCCTTTTGGTTTGCAAAACTTTTAAGCTAGAGACGCCTAGTATGTCAGGTGACGCTGACAGCTGATAACCTACTGACTCCTCGGTGCAAAGACCACTCTGCATTAGGCAGTCTCCATATTACTCAGAAGGGAATCATTAGATCACACTATCAATCTCTAGTCTTCTACAAACAGCTACTATTGGATTCTGCCTGCCTGTCTGGTATAATTGAAACAATATGATACAACCTCCATCTACCGCTTCTTGATGCTCACGTCAATGTTACCAATTGCCCACGCGGCAACGAACACGGTGAACAGGCCAGCCGTGATAGTCACGGGCTTGCGCAGTCCATCCCACAGAGAGTAGTCGTAAGTGATCTATATTCAATGTGTGAGCTTGACTATTTCCGATATGTATCCGGTGTATGTAGGTAGTTACTTACCACAATCTGCGAGTCACGGGCCTCATCCGTCAACTCCTCCACGGTCAAAGTCAGCGCCGTGCGTCCCAGGGTATCCATGAAAGTCTTGTGGCTGGTGAGCTCAGTCTGGATCTGGTTGGCACCGGGGAGGCCATTGCTGGTCGCCTTCTCGAGAAGCTCGTAGCGGACGTTCCGGGCACCCTCGGGGAGGATGATGCGCACGACAGCCTTCTCGTACTGAATACCCTCGGGGACCTTGGGGCCCTCGATGAAGGGGACCTTCAGGACGTAGGAGTCAGCGCCGGTAACAGCCTTGCGGAGGAAGGCAGAGAGATCATTGTTCCAGCCAATGCGGAAGCTGTAGTTCCAGCCGCCGAAGATGGGGAACCGGGGACGAAGTTCCAGGGAAGCGTCACGGTTCGGGACCTTTCCGGGGCGGTAGCGGCTCGTGGAGACGTTGCCAATGTCGTCGGTGAAGTAGGGGTCCACGGAGCCGGGCTTAAGGGGGATCTTCAGCTCGCGAATAGCGGAGGAAGGCAGCTGCTGGTAGCTGCTGATGGTCCATTCCACGCGGTTGAAGTTGTCGGTAAGCTTGGAGCCGTTGTTGCGCAGCCAGTAGCGCTCTTCCGTCGCCAGGTTGCCGCCCCAGTGGGACACTTCCAGATCACGCTCCAGAAGAGTGGCAGTGATGACGGGCTTGGTGAACTCGTACCGGACACTGGCCGGGTAGGTGGTCTCGGGAGCGACGTCGGCGTAGGGTCCGTAGGTGTAGGTGGCACCCTGGCGCTCCGGATCCGCGCCCGACGTCAGGTCCGTGGTGGTGTAGTCGGGGACATTGGTGCTGGGGAACTTGATCTTGGTCTTCTGGGTCGCAGTCGTGTACGCCGAGGGAGCGTAGGCCGAGAAGGCATGGGCGAGGTACTGGCGATCAGTCTGGCTGATGGCCGCAGGACGAGGCTTCAAGGTGTTGAGGGCGGAGTAGGAGATGCCCAGGGTGATTTGCGACGAAGGGGCGAGAGGCTTGGGGAGGTGAACAACGAAGTACTGGAAGTCCCTGTATGTTCAAGAAGACAAAAGGTCAGCAAGCCGTTCTAGATACCTCCACCATGCATAGATCAAGCAACCGTGGCTTCGTCCTTCACCAACCCAGCCATTGGCCGCCATTGCGAACGACTTACCTGTTCGAATCGAACTCAGTAGCTTCCACCTCGAAGCGACCCTGTTCAGGAGCCGATTTATCACGGACTTCTAGGGCACCGACCTTGTCGTAGAGGTCTGACGGGAAGGACAAGTAGTAGTCGGACTGCGGCTTCTTGTCCACATTCTCAACGACAACATTGACGGTCTCACGCAGATAACCCTTCTCCAAATTGGTGTTACGGACGAGATTGGTGTTCTTAAACACTTGGGGAGGCTTGAAATCGCGAGGGAGAGCTACAGGGGAGCTCGAGGGAGTCGAGTCGGCATAAACCAAGCTGTTGCTGCTGGACAGGAACAAGCCGCACAGCGCAGCGAGTGCGGTAAACGGCCTCATAATGGGCGATATGGGCGGTCTTTCAACGACCGCGCCTAGGACCTATACACTCACCAGGAGATAGTCCCAAGGAGAAAGAAATGAGCGAGAGGATGAACGGGAAGGTGGAGGAATTGGGCGATAAGTCGAGGGGGAGAAAGAGACGCGCGGAGATGCTGAGGTGTCCCGATGCGGGATTACGAATTACGTACGGCGACCGCCGCGGCCAAAACTTCCTGCTTTTATCGCCGATAACCCGCGATTCTTCATTACAACTTTATCTCCGCATTGTCTAGCTACGAAACTCTCAATTTTCTGCTTGTAGTTTACGGGTCCCAATCATCGTGGTCTCAATGCTCGCTTCTCGAGCTGCTGCTCGTTCATGCTGTCGGTCAGCTAGAGCCCCGGCACGAGCCGCGGTAGCAGCCCGGCGCTATCATGGTCTCGCTCAGAGCAAGCTCTTCAAGGTGTCTGAGGAAGTCCGGGATGCTGTTGCTACTGGGAAGCCTGTCGTGGCTCTTGAATCGACCATCTATACTCATGGTATGGTTTCTACCTGCTTGGTTGGTTGGAAATAACTGACAGTTGCAGGATTTCCGTATCCTGAGAGCGTTGCTCTGGCCGAGTTGCTAGAGTCGGTCGTCCGGTCCAATGGCGCTGTGCCTGCTACGATTGGAATCCTCGGTGGTGAAGCACGCGTTGGATTAAGTCCCGAGGAGCTCGTCGAGCTAGCATCGACTGCGGAGAAGAAGGATGCGCTGAAAGTGTCCCGGCGAGACCTTGGTTACATCTGTGGCTTGGTGGGTGGAACGCATCCTTCATAACGATACACATCTGACAATAGTAGGGGCTGGCTGGCAAACGTCTTCATGGGGGTACAACGGTGTCCGGCACGATGGTGCTCGCGCACTTGGCGGGGATCAAAATATTCGGCACTGGTGGACTAGGTGGTGTGCATCGTGGCGGCGAGAACTCCATGGACATCTCCGGTACGTGAAGCCTTGGATATAACGATAGTCCGGCTAACTGTAGCAGCCGATCTTACTGAACTGGGACGTACACCGGTGGCGGTCGTCAGCTCTGGGTGCAAGAGCTTCCTGGACATCCCGCGTACGCTTGAATACCTCGAGACCGAGGGCGTCTGTGTGGGAACATTTGCGGACGGTCGTCAAGGCTCCGTGGACTTTCCTGCATTCTACACCCGGGACAGCGGGCTGAAGAGTCCAAAGGTCATTCAGAACGAGGCCGAGGCCGCGGCTATTGTCTGTAAGTCTTACTGCATTTCTCAATCACGCTTTTGAGATACTGATGAATACAGACGCCCAGTCGCAAATCCCTGTCTCGTCGGGCATTCTTCTTGCCAACCCGGTACCACTTGAGCACTCTATTGCAAAGAGTGATATGGACCATATCATCGACGAAGCTCTTCGCCTTGCCGACGTCGAGGGCTACCATGGAAGTGACAACACGCCCTTTGTGCTGGCCAAGATCAAGGAACTCAGCGGCGGAAAGAGCGTGATCGCCAACCGAGCTCTGGTAGAGGCGAACGTGAAGCGTGCGGCCAAGGTTGCCGTGGAACTCTCCAAACTGGAGCGGTCTGGAAGTTCGCTCAATGAACGGTGAGCTGCCACTCGTGCGTTCAGACTCGGGATATCCTAATTGAGATGGTGTGCGCAGACACATGCCAGCTTTCACCGGGACCAGTAGGGCTGACCAAGCGACTGAAACAGAGCTGGAGCGTGCAACTAAGACTCCACTGGAGGCTGTCACGAAGGCGGATGTTCTCGTGGCCGGCTCCTTGGCCATCGATCTTTCCTGCGACTTTGCCCCGGCCGAAGCAAATACCACGACACCCGCTTTGCAGACATCGAACCGCGCCGTCATCGGACAAAGCCTAGGGGGAGTTGGACACAACGTGGCCATTGCCGCAAGGTATCTGGACAGCTCTGTGCTGTTCTGCAGCGTTGTGGGTGACGACTTAAGCGGCCAAGCTGCTCTGTCCAGTCTCCGACAGGAGGGTCTCTCCACAAACGGCATCAAGGTGCTCCCTCCGTCCTCTGGAGCACGCACGGCCCAATACATCGCCGTCAACGACGCGAAGAAAGACCTAGTAGTAGCCATGGCCGACATGGCAATCATGGAACTGCCCGAGCAGGCACTAGACTTTGACAGCTTCTGGGAACCGATGATGTCCCGCGCACAGCCTCAATGGGCAGTAGTCGACGGCAACTGGAACGACGAGGTCCTAAGCAAATGGGTATCCCTAGCCAAGAAGCACAAGGCACGGGTAGCCTTTGAGCCCGTGTCCACCGCGAAAAGCCGTCGTCTATTCGGGTCCGCCATCAAACCATCTGACTGCGTTCCCAACAACACCGTCAGCCTAGCTGCCCCGAACCAGTTCGAGCTAGCAGCCATGTACCAAGCCGCTCGAGAGAACGGACACCTGGACTCAGAGGAATGGTGGCGCATCATCGACGCCATGGGCATGACGGGATCAGGGTCGCGTGAGCGACTAGTGGCCATGACCTCGGCGACGCTGGTCGACCAGGGAATCCCGCAGCAGAGCATCCAGCTACTGCCATTTATCCCATGCGTGCTCACCAAGCTAGGCCGGGAAGGCGTGCTTCTGACGCAGCTGCTGCGGCCGGGCGATGCGCGACTGACAAGTCCGGAGTCAGCACCGTATATCCTCTCGCGGGCGTTGACGTCGGACGGGCTGATCGGGGGGGTGTATCTGCGGCTGTTCCCAGCTGCAGCAGAGCTAGATGAAAAGGACATAGTAAGCGTCAACGGAGCGGGCGATACGCTGCTGGGAGCAGTAGTGACAGGACTGGCGCGGGGAGGAGCGGTGGAGGAGGTGATTCCACGAGCACAAGAAGCGAGCGTATTGACATTACAGCAGGAGGGGGGAGTAAGTAAAGAGATATCCAGACTGGCTGGAAGTATATAGTGCGTTCATACTCACTCATCCATGATCTATGAATTGGCATCAAACAGACATGCTACTACTATACATACTACTACGCACACCAAAAGAAACCCAAAACATCCAACCCTAAGAAACA